GAGCAGCCAAGCCCAGCCACTCCACATTGCAACCAGAGAATATCCAGAGGACATAGATCTTTTTACCTTTTATCTGCTGCCCTAAATAGTCAATGAAATCTCCTGAATGCCCCTCTAAAAGCCATCTTGGTCAAGAAAAGAGAAGTCAATATAAAATCTAAGTGACTAATAATTTATTGAAAGATACAGGTTATTTCCAAAAAAGTTGTTATGCTGGCTCTGAATCAAATTTTGAATAGTCTGGATGTCTAAACTAAAAGAAACACAAACGTGAAGTCATACAAAAACTTACTGTTGTTAAGTTTAAGATGTCCTTAACAATCAGCAGGGTGGGGCTCATGAAAATTAGAAGAACTATTAGGAAACGGGTGCTACATTTCCTTTAGATATCTGAGGGTTTGTTGTTGTTATTGTTTTGGGTACCTGGGATTGAACTCAGGAGCACTTGGCCACTAAGCCACATCCCCAGCCCAAATTTGTGTTTTGTTTAGAGATAGGGTCTCACTGAGTTGCTTAGTACTTTACCATTACTGAGGCTGGCTTTGAACTGGAGATTCTCCTATCTCAGCCTCCAGAGCCTCTGGGATTACAGGCACATGCCGGCTAAGTATCTGAGTTTTGTGCCTCACTGAACTCTATACTTCTATTTCATTGTCATAAGCTAAAGGAGGACAAACAAAATGAGGAACCACCCTTTTCACAAAGTCAAGTTAAGCTCAATTGTTTTCTAAATCTATCTATAAAAAGAGCCTTTCTTAGGGTGGCTTATAAAGGAAATTTATGAAGGCTAAAGGAATTTGAGTGAACATTTACTTCCACACACTAAAACTTCCTTAGGACTTTCGTTTGAGGATATTTAAAGTGAGTTTTTAGTTTTAACTTGGTTGTCAACATGCATAAAAAAGAAAGGATTAAATTAAAGAAGCATTAAACATGAAGGAAAAAAAGCTATTCCTTCAAGAGTAGCCTTTACTGCTGGGCACGGTGGTGCACTCCTGTAATCCCAGCAGCTTGGAAAGCAGAGGCAGGTGGATTGCAAGTTCAAAGCTAGCCTGAGTAATGGCAAGGCACTAAGGAACTCAGTGAGACCCTGTCTCTAAATAAAATAAAATACAAAATAGGGCTGGGGATGTGGCTCAGTGGTGGCCGGCCCCTGAGTTCAATTCCCAGTACCAAAAAAAGAATAGCCTTTACTGTCAATCAGAATTGTCTAAATTGTTTTAAAAAAAAAATCAGGCTTTCTCTGAAATGTCAAGAGAATTGCCTTTATTCTGATATATATTCCAGGTGATTTTCCTACAGAGAGACTTCCATCTCATGCTCACACTTGTTTATTTCTGTATGTAGCATTCAGGCAGTCGCTGAAACAGGAGGTACTTTGTAGATCTACTGAATATGATTTTTACATTATTTAAAATTTCAAAATTTCAAGCCAAACAGCAAATGTGAAACCACATGCCCCCATTCCCTTTTTTAAATCTTGACTTTGAAGCTCTGTTTGGTGAGTTTAGAGCCAACTAATGATATTTGTTGCTACATGACACAAGAAACCAGGAAGGGCTATGATCTAAGTTTGCAAAACAAACACTAAGTACTTATGAAAGGTTCCAATATAAATCTTTGTACTGCCATATAAACATTTCATTTTTAAGACTGTTTGTCTTGAGGAAGATATCTTCTTTCAGCAATAGATCAGAAATAGCTGCCCTCACTCTTATATATATCTGTTGATAGATATTATTGCTAAACATTTTTTTAACTTCAAGGACTATTTATTGAGTGTTTATGATAGACTTTATACTAGAACCATAGATATCCAGTTATGCTATGGAATTTTTGAAGGTCCCATTCTCCTTTGGGGGCAGAGGGACGGATCCAGAATCATCTGCAATTGACAAAGTCTATGGAGGCAGTGAAGGTGAGGAGGAAGCAGTGGATTGGAGACAAATCAGTGGAATTTGTTTTCAAATTGGGTAAGTTGATGAATAAAGCCAGGAAAACATCCTGGTCTCCAGTGTGGGGATCAGGCAATGCCATTTAATGAGATTAGGAAATGACAGATTAGGGCAGCACAGTATAGACTCCATTTTACCCAAAACAAGCTCTAAAAGGGCTGCTGTGTACAGTGAGGCACTCTGTCAGAGATGATTGTGCTCAAATATTATTTCCAAGCCCAAAGTTTCTTTCCCAAGTGAGAACAATTGAACACATCTCAGAATCTGGTAATCATGTGCCAAGTGTTGAAAAAGCCTCTTTCATGAACAGGACTCTGGTCTTGGATTTCTACAACAGCATATGCCAACCTACTGCCTGGATTGATGCTCTTGAATCCATTCTGATTAACAGGGTGTAGAATGAGTTAAAAGGGGCCACACACAGTACACAGTAGGTCCACTGAGTAGAAAGCCCCAATGGTTGGCCAAGTTCCACCTCAGGTTCTTGCAACCAGCAGCCTTTGAGGGGTGGAGTTCATGACACCTCCCCGCACCTCAGCTTCATATCTGTCCAATTAAGATCCACATTCTCCTAACTATAAAAATCTGTAATTTCTCTTCCTGTGTCTGGACATTGAAACAGATAAAATTAGGGAAAATGCTTGAATTAAATCTAGATTTTTATTTTCTAAAGAAATTAAAAATATTTACTTTCTACTCAAGTCAAAGTTTATTTCATATTTCATTCATAGTACATATGTGGCATTCTGAGGGATAAAGAGCTGCCAAAGACAATCATCTAAGATCTGAAATGACCCCATTTTAATGTCATGCAATGAAAATACCTGCAGTTTAGAAATGTGAAAGTTGAATATTTATTTAGCATGTCATCTGTCTGGCTCTGATTATAAGAAAACAATGGCAATCAGGCCGTGTGTACAAAGAATCAGTCACACACATTTTTAAATAGTGTTAATTTTTAAGTGGCTTTAATTTAAAAATTAAAGTTTGTTGCCTTCAGTAAGAGTCCAACTGATACTGTCCTGAAATAAATAGGTCTCCTGATTGATTAAAAGACTGAACCTCTGTCTTATATTCCAGCTATTCTCTTAGTAGACAAGGAATTATTAAAAAAATATATATTATATATGTATGTATATATATATAAAAACACATAGAGAAGGAAAGTAATGAATGGCTGTTTAGTACATTACATTCACAAGTGATGGAAATTTTTTTATCAATATCAGTATGTCTCAATTCTATAACTGATAGCTTTTTTGGTAAAAAAAATTACATTAAAATTACAAGTGAAACTTACTACACTTGCTTCAATCTATAAATCTGATCAACATAGATTTGATTGGTTTCCATTAATATAAATGTTCTACAATTCCTCTTATGACAAAACATCGCATTATTTTCTAGAATACCAGCAAGTGTCTGAAATATGTCCCTGGGGTTTCACACCTTCTCTAATCTTTCCAAGAACTCTCAAAGTGGATTTTATTACCAATGAGAGCCCAGAGACTCAGAGAATTTACATGGCCTGCCCAAAGCCACACAGTCTGTTAAAAGTGATGATGTTGCCATGTGTACCCAAGTCCATCTGGCTTCAAAGTCTGTTCTATCCCCATTAAACAAAATGTCTTTGCCCTTACTTCACACCCCACCCCCAGCTCCGGTTTTTTTCTTGAACTTTCTTACAACATTGAATCATCCACTTAAAGATGTCAAACAATCTCATTGTGCAAGGATTGCTGTCAGATCTCATTTGACTCACCTTGCCTACCATTTTTCCTGTTTACTCTTTCTCTAGCCTCTTCCTTTTCCAAAGCTGAGAGTAGATTAAATCAGCTACTTCAATCTCAGTAAAAATATACCATATACCACTTGGAAACAGAATATTTGTATATTTCTGGGTAGTGTTTAATCTGCAACAGGGTTATAAAAAATAGAAAGATACTAATAGAGACAAATCAATAAACTTGGTCTCGCTAAGTCAAGTCAAATCCATGCTGGCTCTCTAATCTATCTCTTTAGTATCCTACTTTAAAATGCTGTTCCAATTAATCCTACATATTCATGGGGATAATCCCAAAGGCAAGATAATCCTCATGTGTGTTTCCTTTAATAGGCTGACGACTCAGCCACCACTACCAAAACCTAAATTCACTCACAGGAACCAACTGTCCATCCACACTTTCATCCAGGTTGGGATGTCCTTCCACTCCTGCAACACCAGCAAGCCTGCTTTGCATGCACTTGAGCCTTAAAATAAGGAAAATGTTGTAAATCTTTTTTTTCCCCACATTCTCTCCCTTATTAAATTTTACATTCTTGTAGAAATGCAAGCTCAGTCCTGCATTTCTCACTATTCTGAGAAATTCCATTTTCTCCAGATTTTAAATTGCCTTCAGATACTCACTATGAGCAGAAAAGAAAACCCTTCTATCTTCTGCTACCAGAATGTTTCCATTCTTCCTCCATGACAATAATTGTTTTTGTGTGTTCCTTTTTCTACTAAGCAATTCATCCAAAAGTTTTCAGTTAAAACCTTGCTCAATCACCACTATGGCTACCTTTTTTCTATCAGTTTCTCAATTATGCCCAATGTGAACTTATTCTCTTTGGACAATTCACCCTTAGCTCTCTCATCTTCTATTTTCCTGCCTGGATAGGACAATGTAGTTGAACCAAAATGTCCTGCTTTTCCTCATTTCTGTCCCCATTGTCCTGAGATTCCCAGAGCAACCTCTCCTCTTTGAGCTCATAACTGCATTTTTCTTAATCAAAAACTTGACTTCCTAAAACATTAGCCTGCTTAATGAAGAAAAAAAAGCCATCTCCATTAGTTACTCACTGTCATTAATCTATATAAAATATACCTTAAAAAATCTGCATGGAAAAGGTAAAAAAGAAAACAATTAACACCTGAGTATTTATACGTTTTTCTGTCTTATAAAAATCTTATAATACAAATAACTTCATATGTAAATAAGATTTCACCCTTTGCAATAAAATATTTATTTCAGAGGATAAAGGAAATCATGTCAACCTTCTATGTTAATCATAAAAATATGTTTAATCACAGGAAAAGAGCAAGTCATTTTTTTTCCAGCTCTAAAAATATTTTAATCATGCAAAATCAACATAATGGACTCTAGAACAATGCTAAAATGTTACCTAAGATGAATTGGCTTTTATTAGCTTTACAGAATGTATATTTGGCAATAGTTATTAAAAATAATTACTCTAAAGGAATTCTAAATATATTATTTTAGAAACAATATTTTAAAATACAGCAGTAAGCAACAGAAACTATTGTTCTTTATACATTTTTGGCATAACACTGCCATACAGTTACAGAATTATAAAATAAGTATTTTATAGTACCATACAGTTCCAGAAACTGGTTACAACTTCTACCACATACACATGGTATTGGTACTAACAAACATGCATAGCATTCTGTAGTTCACACTGCAGTTGAATACAGAGCACAGAGAAGGCCCAGTGGCCACTGGATAATCAGAGCTTATGTGACAAGTAAAACACTTCTTTGTAAGAATCATATCCGTTTTCCTAAATATTCAAAATACAAAGGACACGATAGTTTCCAACTTTAAATAGTGACTACACTTAGCCAGACTGATCAGTCTTAGATAATACAAAAGATAAGACAATATCCTACTTGGGAAACAGGTAAAAGGCCTTTTTAAGAAAAAGCGGGGGTGGGAAGTTATCAGAGGACCTAAGGTTTTGCTCTCACTTGCTTCTCTGAATGGTAATGCCCCACGATCACTGTGCTGGCAGCTCTTGACCATGTGGGAAACAGTACTTTAACAACCCACCTATCACGGAGTCCTTCTCCTGCTCTGCAGCCTGTCCCTCAATTGAACTTCTAGTTGGTAAAACCACTGACTGTTGGTACACATAGACAAAGGAATTAAACTTGGTATCTGATCATTGCTTACTTTCATCAGTCTAAGGGAAGATTCCAACATGGAGTAGGCAAAATTTGTGGTTTAAGTGAGTATACTGACAGGATCTATTTTCACATCACTCCCTGATCTCCTTGGCACAAATAGTTCAGAGATGATTCTCAGAGCGAATCCCATCACTGAGCCTCTTTAGACCATTCCTCACTTAATTCCAATAATACTGACACTTGTACAAATTTATAATTTGTGGTCTTTATTTCTGTGGTTTCTTATTACTGTTTCTAATTTTTTGTTTCATTAGTTTCTTTCTTTTTTTTTTTTTACACATGAAACTAAATCTGTTAGCACAGGAGAAAACAAAACAATTGACCAATGAGTGCAAAAGTTGAACATTTCTTGGACCTAAACTTATATGTAACTATCTCCTTAATGAATAGAAACTGCTACACAAACTCCTTTAAAAATTAAAAAATGAAAATATGATAAACATCATAATTTAAATATTTTTCTTAAGGTGTACTGATTTACAAAAAAAAACCTTTTAGCATAACATGTGAGCATGAATACCTTTTCTTTTAATCATTTTATTAAAAGTTTTTGTATGTTACTCTGAAAGAGCAAACCAAATTTTTATTAAAGGATGGGGGGGGCGTGCATGGAGGGTTGGAATTTTAATGCTTCCTAAGATAATTATAAAGAGTCACAATTTATATAGCAGATCCTAATTACTCACAATTTTGTAAACAACTACAAAGTGGTGGCAAATAAATTACAGCAGATATTTTGTCAAAACTGATACCCATTAAAATTGTGTGTGGAGTGCAAAGTAGCCTATCCTCCCCAGAGGTCAGAAATCATAGGGCTCAACATGCTCATGATCCAGAAGATGCCCTGAGGACCCAGCAGGTCAATGAAGAGGGTAAAACCCAGTGCAGGCTCCATTCCCCAAAGTATCCACTGGGGTCTTAATCACCTCTCCCTCTCTGACCTTCACCTCTAGCCAAGGTTTGGGCCATAATACAAAAAAATTAATAAGAGTCTCCAACATGAAGACTTTGATCCAGGAAAACAACATATTAAGAAGTTATTTCCCACAAATAACTAAAACAAAAAACTTCACAACAAAATAGAAAAAGTTGATGACACAGAACACTTTCTCTAATCTAGGAAGAAAAAAAAAAAGAACAGGGCTTTAAAAAATGTATGAGATTCTAGCATAAGTTTTTCAAATTTTATATTCCTACAAACATCTGAGAAGTTTTAATGACTTCTCTTATATAACACCATTTTCTGCATCCATCTGAATCTAAGAACAAGAAAGAAGTAAAACACAGGTAAATATTACTTGTGTAGTAACTAAGGAATGGTTAAAGTGAAAATTACAGCATGTAGCAAAGAAAAAGCATGAACACATGAAACAATACAGGTTAATCTTTCTTCCTCGAAACTCTTGTCAAATATCACACATACTGTGGTGAGTACACTTTTTTAATGAACTTATGCTCTTATTCCAAATGACAATTTCTCCAAAATGATAAAGCACCAAAGTAAATTTCATTAAAATAACTGATGTGATATACATGGTTTGAATAGTTCCTTATGACAAGATTTTACAATGGAGTAAAAGTGTAAACATCGGAATGAAAACCATTTACATTCATTAAGGCACATCTGGACACCTCCAGGCATTCATAACTATATGATTATTAATTTCAGTAGTAAGAGATTTCTACAGTCTGTCCCTGAACACAATCTGCTGGGTGGGTTGGATAACTAGAACAAGGCAGAAGGCAGGGCAGGACTCACTGTCACCCTAGAGATTGCCCACACAAATCTGTTCCTGTAATGAGCCACACAGAACTCAATACTGAAAGAAGTCAGGGGACAGACACAATTCCTAAGTCCAATGTTTCCTCAGATCATCTTTCGCTACAACTGCACCTGCATTTAAATGACCCTAACATGTCTAATTCCTGCCTTATATTGAACGCACATGCCCCAAAGAGAAAGTGGAATTTTCTAATGGAAAACAAAATAGAAATCCTGAAAATATTCCTGAAACAAGGGATCTACTTACCTCAAAGGACATTAAAGACTTGTAGATGTCATTAAATTAAATTAAGCAACATCTTTCTGTTCCTGGTTTACATAACAGAGATTTTAGAAGAGCCTCTAATACAGTTTCTTAAAAAATAAATGTTTGACTTAGTTACTCAGTGGATTATAAACTCAGCCATAACTCTACTGACTTGGGACATTTAGCATTAAAACAATTAATCAAATATTCTCTTATTCATCAATCTGACCAGATTTTGACAATTTGATATGGTTTATTTTACCAAAATGATGTTTTAAAGACTAACTCAGAGGTATATTATACTGTTTTTCCTTTTTCATCATACTTTCACTCAAATTAAATATAAAAGCTAGAAGCAGAATAGGTAATTTTATATGACAAAATATGAAACATAATGACTATAACAGGTTTTATACCATTTTTATATTTTTAATACTTAGCAAAAAATACCAGAACTTCCCTAAGAACTCCTGAGTTGTAAATTTTATTTTCTCTTTGAAGCTGGGAAAAAAAGTACTCTCAAAATCTAAAACAAAACTATACAATATAATTTTTAAAGTGACAACTGACTTGATTTAGAGAAAGCAGATATATCTTCATTTCTTTTATGATTCTTTTGAATTTTTTATGAGATTGAGCATGATAATGTATAATGGTGCAATAATCTTAATGTTAGAAACTTCTCTACTGTACAGAAATATATCTTATATATCACTTTACAGTATTTCAAAATAATTTCACATATTTTATCTCCTTTGATATATGAAAGCACAAAATATTAGAAATATACTAGACTAAACAAGCAATATAACATCTATTTGCCATGAAATTCAAGTTACTATTTTATTAATAGCCAATATTAACTATCCTTGCAGCCTGTAGTACAACAATAAAGACTATATTTGCAAATACACAATAATGTTTCTAGTTATTTGGCCATGCTTCACTGAATTTTCTATAACAGCTTCTCTGTAAATTTCTGCAAGCACATGGTAGTTTTTAAAAATACAAAACAGAAGTTAAACCCCAGGGGGCAGTTTCATAACACACATAAACACATATCTATAGATCTTATTTTAAAAAACCATTAAATATACAAAGTATTCTTAATATAAAAAGTTCTAGACATTTAATTTTTATCTGCAAAAAGAATGTCATCCCTACTTATTCTCCACTTAATAATTCTCTCATTAGTTATTTACAGATTAAATGTAGGAAACTATAGTCACATATGAATATACATTTAAAAAACACATGATGGAAAAAGGCCACTATTTTGGATGGAAGCCAGGAAGTTCTCCCCTTGAAACTAAGTATTCTCAAATAAAGTAGCACAATGTAACAAAATCCCTCATAAAGAATAATATTTTTAAAACTAAACTGTTAAATGAAATGTTTTTCTTCTGAGGGCTTTAATATACTGTAATTTCTAAGTAGTTCAGATTATATTAATTTATTTTAGTATCTGGTAATGGTAACTGTTAAAATATTAACAGTTACTTATCTATTAACAGTTACTAACATTTAATATTAAACATATGTGACCAGATTAGTATCTGTAACTGTTAAAAATATTAGAAGTTAAATTAAAATATTAAAAGTATTAATAGATACCAGATACTAATCTGGTCACATGTTTAATACTAAGCATTTAAAAAGCAGTCTGAAAGTGTCTATACACTGTCTATACACAACTAGTAAGATATTTTGAATTAAATTAATATTATTCCTATAATTAAGCCTAATTTGACAATTCACTCTTATCCACTAAACTCTGTGGAACTGTTTATTAAGATCTACAGGGACATTGCTATGACAAGCACCGTGTCAGAGGATCCATGTATTTCCTGCGTGTAAAAAAAAAAAATGGAAAAAACAAACTTAAACTGTTACCTCAAATTCTTAGTACTTCAATTTGACATGTTATAGGAACTAAAAATGATAAGGTATTCTATATTCTACATATTGAAACATGAAATAAAACATGAGTGCTACTAAGACTTTCATGAAAAAAATCAAGATTAAGCAAGTGGGGTGTTTTTGCATAAATTTCAAAGCAATAAAATCATATTTCTAAAGACATACTATCAGTGTGATTATTTTCTAGAAATCCACTGCTTAAAGTGTGGATTAATAAATATAACAGAAGACGATATGATGGGATATGAAATAGGCCATATAAAAAAATCCTCCAGGGGATTAAAGTAAATAGAACTTTTCTTAAAAGTGAAAGAGATTTTTTTTAAAAAGTCAATTTATTTCTAAGTGATATAATATGAAAATGTTTATATATTCATTGCTTTTTCCATATTTGTGTATATGTTTTGAAGTTTTCATCACAGTGTTTCTGATTATTTTCTGATTTTAATAGTAATTAGTATAATATTATTGGAAATAAAATTGTTTTCAGTAATTATTAGTAATAAATTAAGTTCTTACTAGAACTGAGTATATGAAATTTCAAACTGTTCTCGATTTGAAAGTTTGATAAATTAAAGATGCAAAACTATATATGTATATATTAAAAGATACACTGTAGAATAAACAACATAGTAATTTAATAACCCACATATCACTGAGATATATTAATGAGTTAAGAGATATGCCTATTGATAGTGCAAGAGGCATGCCTTTTAAAAATGAATAATTTCCTTTTTTCCTTTTTTAATTCTTCAGTCATCTGCATCCAGAATCAACCACCAAATTTATGTGGAACATCCATTTAAGTAAAGTTCTTTTTTGGACTTTTGCACCAAAATTTGTTTTTAAGCACTTAATACAGAAAATATTTTTATTATTATTTTAAAGAAAACTCTGAAATCATACAATTAAAAGTTGCCCTCTGTTCCATTTAGATGTCAAGAAGATGATTATCCTAATGTATACTATAAATACACTTGATAGCTGACAAAGATGGCGGCTCAACGGCGAGCGAGGAGAGAGGGAGAAAGAAGACAGCAGCAGGACTGACAGATTAGCTGGGGAGGTCAGAGCTCCCCCAGGACCTCCATTTCACTTATCAGAATCTAAAAATAAACACATTGAAGCATTAGGATCAAAGAATCCAAAATATTTTCTGAATATATCTGGAAAAACTAAACTTTTTCTTCCTACTTCAAAAATTAATCTAAAAATCAGGTAAAAGTATGGAGATTCAATGAAAATGTTGTCTTGATTTTTTTTAATGGAATCTGTAGTCTCGAAAGAACACATTTGATGTGCATATCAAATACTACATGATTATTTCTAGACACCTTGAAAATAAGTTTAAAGTAATTGTTATATACAGAATTTGAAAACTCACATCCTAAAACCATTACAGAATATATTCATTTATTAGATCTGGTCTTAAATCCTCTCATTAAATATCCAATTCATTGTCATCCAAAATAAACAAATAACAACAAAATGCTTACAAGAGAAAACACAAACAGGTGGCTAACAGTGGAAACATGACATCATCTCTGTTCTTTAGAATAAATTAGACAGTAGCTTTTTCCTCCCTTAACCTAAACTGGCTTTTGATTTTCTGATAATTCACTGTAATAGTACCTCATCATGGCAACTGGTATTTCCAGGATTTTCACAGTCTTTGTTATGATTTTCGCCCTCTTCTTCTTTTTCAGAAGGAGATGAACTCTCCTTTCTTTCTGTTGGAGCAGTAACTGTTTTCTCAGGTTGAGCATTTGAATTTCCAGGATCACTGTCCTCTGTGTTTTCTGGTTTGGCAGCTTCGTTGCTGGGCTCTGGGCTGGGCCTGTCTGTCTCTTCCCCAGACTCTTTTGGTGCCACTTTTTTTTCTTCAGCTGTTTTGCTATTTAAATGAACAGCTGAAGAGGAAGTTTTGGAGTCCTTGGATTTTTTGTGCATAGACTGTGTTTGACTGTTATGACTAGAGGCAGGAGGGGCCGGCATTTTCTGAGCTTTGCTTCCCTCTGATTGTTCTTTTTTAGGTGGTCCCCAGATAAAATTCTCTGAAGGTGTGTAATGTTTCTGGGCAAACCGCAGGAGCTTTCTCCTTTCTCTTCGATCTCTAATTGTATAAACAAAATACTCCAGAGCACTCTGCTTAATATTGGGAATAGTGTTTTCCACAAGAGCTTCATGAAGAATAAATTTTACAAGAGGAGATTTAAAACTTTCATATCCAAGCTCACCAAGGCTTTTGAGAATACGGGTGATTCTTAAATAGTTGTGCTGGGACCTGGAAGACAGGATTGAATAAAATGAGGTGGATGGTAAAGACTAAGGGGAAGAAAGCAGGAGAATACAAACTATTGGGAAAACATATTTTTATGGAAGTGTAAGACAAGGAAATATGCCTTGTAATGATTTTCTTAAATATTGATAAAAAGAATAAGAGTTTATGGAAACTTTACACCTCAATGTAATCTCAATCTATGTGAAACTCAAATGTATAAAACAAAGTCTGCCCTTTTAGTTCTTTGTATTGGAAAAATATTTAGGTTTAAATTTATGCCCCCTAGTATTAAATTGTTTATTTATTAAATTCACCAAGGACTGAGGACAAGTGGTTTAAAAGAGCATTTATAGGAGCTACCACAACCAGCCATAGCATAGTACCATATCATTATATGAATGGTGAGTACAGTACAATAAAATATTTTGAGAAAGCAAGAAAGACCATGTTCACATAATATTTTTATAGTATATCATTAAAACTATTCCGTTTATTTATTAGTTGTTGTTATTAATCCCTTACCATGCCTAATTTACAAACTAAAATATATCAAAGGCATGTATGTATAAGAATAAACCATAGTATACATAGGATTCTACACCTTCCATGGTTTCAGGCATCCACTGGGTGCTTGGAACCTATACCTTGTGGATAAGGGGTAACTTCTGTATCTGCAACACTACCAATGATGTATAGTACTCATCAAAGGTAGCTAGGGTTGAACATAAAAACATTAACTAACAGCTGAATGGTGTTATTAATAGTGTCCACTAAATAGCAAAATCCATCATGTAAGCCAAATTCACAAGGAAAGCAGCAAAAACCATTCTACCTGGCTAGAACAATTCTGACAAAGGATGCAAAAATGACTTATTTAACAGAGCATCATTTAACAGTTGAGAGCATGGGCCTCAGAGTCAGTCATACTCTGGCTCTGTCACTTAGCAGCTATGTGAAATCATGACGACTCTCTTAGTATCTTCATCTGCAAAATGGGACAAACATCTCACAACTTACTGGACTTTTGTAAAAATCAAGTGAATTTATAGATATATAAGGCATGAAAAACTTAACAAATATCAGATACTGTTTAACATGATTATTCTTATCATTATCTCTAAAGATTTGTTATTGTGAAGCACCAAATTTGTATCTGTTCCAAATTAATAACCTAATTCTCTTCCATCCTGGTCACTCTCACCTCCTCTTACACTATCAGAAAAATTTAAATCTCATTTCTGTGGGCCTTGATTCCAAAGATGCAATCTTTCCTCAAATTACACCAATATCTTTCCTCTATATCTCAAAACTAAGGCCATTATTGGATTAATGCTTTCCCAGAGTTTTTTTTTTCACTATTCATACTCTACTTCCACAAACTCATTCAGCTCAATCCTTGCCTTACCAAAGCCTAAAGAAGTCTTCAGCTACACGTATTAATTGTGTCTGTCATCAACAGCTCAGGTAGGTATTATCCAACATTCCCACTCAACCAGAACCAGCACTTAAATTTCTTACTTTCTGAAACCTGTTTTATAGCTCAGTCACTTTACTTTTTACAAAGTTCTGTCCTAGCTTCCAAAAGTACTCAGAGTCTTTACTTAGGAATAACTAGGAAATTATTTGAGAATGGTGAAGAAGGATATTGACAAATTATTTTAGGTATGGAAAGGGGTTTTTCCATGGCCTTATATTTTTAATGAAAGAATGTGGACAAAACAAAATCTTAATGATTCAGGCTAACCATATACTGGAAAAGACAAGTGTAACAATAATTTTTAACATCTCTATCCTTCTGGATGTTTTCCAAGTATTATACTAAGTATTGTTATACTAAGTAGTATCTTTACATCCAACTCTTTGAAGCCCAAAGGGCAAAAAATAACACAGATATGTTTTAGTTTTATGAATTTGTATTTTTTCATAGTTAGGAAATAAGAGTGTTAGGAGACAGTACAATCTGGGTGAAGTTAAGACAATGTGTCACCAACAGTAGAATTGACTTAATTGTTAACATTTGTATGGAGTTTGTGTATTTGAACAACTTAGTGACAAAACTCTTGAGGAACATCTGCTTCATATGTCTGTGAAAAATTGATGTATGGAAAGGTGGAAGAATGTTTACAAGAGATGCTATGTGACAAAATGAATATGTATTTGCAACCAGCTCGATTTCATACAATTAATCTTCAATGAATGGTCAAGTTAAAATATCTGTACATTTATCTTTATCTACATATTCACCAGTTAAAATATTTACAGTATAAAAGGATAAAAACTTGGGTTGAAGAAAATGATGATCAGGAATTGGAAATAAAATTACAAAACAGAACAATTGGGTGTTTCAGTATGATTTGATGTGTCACAATGAATGAGAGGAGAGTGGCTAAAAGCCACTAGTGTTACAAGCAGTCTTGAGGATGTACAACACATAGAAAAGCAACTGGGCTTCAACAGATGTAAAGGCAATAAACAGTCGGGCATGGTCAGGAAACTAGATAGGTGAACAGAGAACACACAAAAAGCAAGAACCAGAAAATAGGAAAGTTAGAAGGGATTTCTGGGCCTAACATATGTCCCCACTATGGCTCAATAATCTCAGCTGATTACAAATAAAATCATAATTACATCTTAGTGGTTGGTCTATATCTCTATACTCTCATGACTGGAAATATTTCACATCTTTTAAAATGGTCACTTGTTTACTCCATGTTATTGTATTTCTTTTGATTCAATAATTTTCCTTTGCTTAGCTACTATAAGTATACTGAATTCTTTGCCTATTCTAGAAAACTTAAGATGCCATACAGATTAAAACACATATACACTGTGACATTTAAGAATAAATGAGAAAAAGGACTCAACAGAAGAAGAAGATGGAATAGACATTTTCATATCATCCCACATGATTTGTTCAAATCTAGTCGAAAAAAATTTTTGGCAACTAAACTAGAGAGGAAATGTTTTCTGGCAGATTCTAAGACAGTTAATCCAGAACTGGAAAGGCAAAGAAAGACAGTGCACAGTAGAGGAAAGGTAGCTAGACGGAGCAGAGTGAGAAGGATTGTTAATTCAGACTCCCCTCCCTGACTCAAGCCAGGAGATCTTTCAGCTAAAGCCTTCAGAAAGGGCCCTGTTTATAGCTATAAATCAGAGGATCTGACAATAAAACCCGAGGAGGATTTGAGTCTGAAAACCACATTTTGTTCATGATTTATTCATTCAACAAGAAATTTACTAAACAAAAGTGCTATTCTGATCAAAACCAAGTTGAGAAAAAGAGACTTTGAAATGCTAGATGTGAGTACACAAAAAATGTGGCCCTATCCTACTCTTTCTAAAGTCTTACTTCAACCATTCTTCCTAACAATAGGCTACTAGCATACAGCTTTCTTTGACAACGTGACCTAAGTGCTTAGAAACTTTGTCCAGAGATACTTACCTGCACTGCTCAGGTAGAGCACACACACACACACACACACACACACACACACACACACACACACACACCAAAACTTAACTTGAGTTATGAGTTAAGGGGTGGCTAATCAGGATCATAATCGTTATGCACATATCCTCAGTATTTTCTTACAAGTTACCATTTTAATAGTGTTGATAATAACTAAAAAGGAAAAAGAAGGCTCAACTTTTTTATACCCATTTTACCAAAGCAAGACGAAAGTCCTAGAAGACAAATAATTTACATAACTGATGCCAAAATTCACATTGAACTGACCAAAGAATTACTTAAGTTTGTTCTCTTTTTTTTCCCTCTTATTACTTGCCCAGTTAGCTAATTATAATGTGCTAAAAAGTGCTTTAAAACTGTTGGTTTTATAGTCCAGCTCTTATAAGTCACTCTATAATTAAAAGAAAAAAAAAAGCCAGTGTGCGTATGAAGAAAATATTTTTAAAAATAAGCTTTTAGTTATAAGTATTGATGAAAGTTATAAATATCCAAGCAAAATAAAATAGCAGAACATATCCAAATAAGCTATGTTAAGTTTTTCTTGTAGGTTTTGGGGGTGAGTAGCTAAAACATGTGTTTTTGATTTTACCTAAATAGTAAAGATAACTATAATATTTCCTCTGTTTTAGTAAAAGGCACAGGTACATCTCATTCCTATAATATGACTGTTATACATCATAGGCTTAAATCATGAATTTAATCTAAGAAGCATCAAGCTTGAAGGTGTTAGAAACTGACTGTGACCCAAGAAGCCCAGTAGAAGGAAAACAAAAGGCTGCATGTAAACAATAACCATAAATTCCAAATACTGTGGTAGGAAGAGGGTAAGAAGCTCATTTGGCCACACGTGGGAACTTCAGCAAGAAACAGCTCTGAAGCTAAACTGCTGTGTTTCTACTTGGAATTTAGTTCTTTTTCATTATTGTTTTATTTTAGAATATTGAACAAGGAATAAAATGCATTTCAGAGTGAATTCTGAACATAAATTATTGGCCCAACTGCTAGCTATTCCTATGTTCCACAGAGAACTCTAACTACAGGAAAATACCATTTATTTATGACAAGGGCTTTACTTACTCATTCAGATGCTGAAATCTTTCCTGCCAGTTAACAGCCCGAGCAACATTTCCATTTTTATCAATCAGTTTTATTCCAAAAAATTCTAGCATCATTTTATAAGCCAGGAGGAATCTTCTAATTGCTTCTTTTGTTTTTTTGAATTCCTAATAAGAAAAATGGAAAAAAGGGTCAGCTGACATGACTTAGTAGCTACCAGGAAAATAAAATGACACTATTATTTGGCCACTTTACATAAAATGAGTCTGCATTACCTCAATTTCATATGTAGTTAGTTCTTTAGCATAAAAGTTCAAGCCTTGTTCTCTCAGGGGAAAAAGCCTATTTTTTAAAAAAATAAATTTTTTTCTATTAACATTGTCTGTAAAGCATACATAATTAAATAGGAAATGGTTCAAGATAGATAAAATGTAACTGACCATTGAATGTAAGTGTGGTTGTGCTCCAGCTTTTCATAATCTCCTTTCCATTTATTTAAAACTTCTTCAATGTAAACACCTAAACAGTAAATATTCAGAAAATGAAAGAGAGGATTAAAACACTGTGAAGGCATTTTAAGATTTGAATTACCTGAATTTTATATTAAAACTTTTTAAAATTTAAAAATAGTATACAAGAATAATGTTTTTTAAAGAAGAATATCCTATCCATATACTCAGTTATAAGCACAAAAAAATTAATAGTAGTCAAATCACAGAACATTCTATTGGGCAATGTACTCTACAGTAGAGGTTGGCAAACCCTGGCCTGCCAGCTATTTTATAAGGTTTTATCAGAACACAGCTACAAAGATTAATTTATGTATTATCTATGGTTGCTTTTATACTATAATAGTAAAGTTGAGTAGCTGGCAACAGAGACTTGCTAATCTACAAATATTTACTACCTGCCCTGTAAGAAAAAAATTCTCCATATTCTCCTGTTTTACTAAGGAAATTGTGCAATTTGCTGCTCACACACTAGTGAAAAAATAAATCTAGGGAGTAGAACATAGGTCTTTCTATTTCTGGAGAGTATGCTCTTTTACCATGTCCCAGTGTTCCCCTACAAGAACTTACTATGGTAAAATCCTCCTGATACTCAAGTCTATCAAGGTCCTTACAATTGACTATGTAGCCATTTAGTCAATCTTATGAAAATAGAAGCATAATCTAAACATAGCTCACTTCCTTCTTTCCTCCAGATATCACCATTTCCGTACTTGGTAAAATGCTAAAACCATTTGCCTTTGTCATTGTTTTCCCCTCCAATGACCTCTGTTCCCACTTAATAAGTAAAATATACCACAGCAAATTATGCTTACTGGCAAGTGTGCATTTGTGTATACACACAGGAGAGCAAAGTGTGTGAATTGACACATTTGTGTAATACACTAGAATAAGGTTTAATGTGACCTTAGCTAACATTTTTGACCCCCATTATCTAAGGTTTCAAAATAAATTTTGTGATAAAATACAAAAAATTTTATGTGTTGCTTGAAGCTGCCAAAGCTTTAAATTATTAACTCAAAATAAATTCACCACTAGAAATGTAAAAATAGAGTTAAATACTGTCATAAATTTATGTTCAATATTTCTAACACTTAAAGGCATTTCTTTAGCTGAGTTTTATGACATTCAAATTAGAGACAAATCAACAAACTATGTGCATTTCTTCAAAAGGTTTTCTTACACCAAGTCCTAACAAAACTAATAATTTAGTTAATATTTTTCCATTGACTAAAATAAAAGCAGCATATTTATATCATTAGTAATCAGAAAGTGCATTTTTATCCAGAGGTTTTCCTTCAAATTCAAGCAGGCTTTTAGAACACCAGAAAGTTCGAAAACAGCAGATGTGGCCACTTGACTCCCAATTTATACATTTCTCAGTACACAAATTGGGACTCCCTCCTCTTAATACCCAATCCAGCCTTTAGATCTCTTTCCTCCAGTTCAAGGAGGAAAAGTAGGATCTTTTTCCTACCAGTTTACCAAAGAATGCAATATCTTGCCACCTTGAAAGTCTTACAATCCATGATCCTCATTTCCTGACTCACTTTGATGTGGATTTGGCTCAGTTTCCAAGAAGAACAAGGAGCAAGAACCAGAACTGTATAGTCATCTCAAACAGAAAGGGACTCTAAAGAGAGAAGTTGGCTTCAGCTTCCCTGGCTTGACATGGATAAAATGAGGCTGCCCATCATGAACCACAGTGTGGTGCTTCAATGAAATATGCAATTTTGTGGTCAAATTATCATAGCAGCTGCATCCTCTCCCTAAGGGTTTGAAAAAGATCCTACAAGGGCAACTGTAGAGTTGTGAAGGAGACAAATTTTTTTGGCAGAAGTAGATGGAGATCTACCACATCCTCACTCCCTGTCCCAGGATCCTGGAACACTAAACTGGGATGGCTGTATCTTCCTGACCCACAGCTCTGAAGCTGACAGGAAAGATAATTCCAAATACAGACAGCATTTTCACTCACATTCTAAATAATTTAAGGGTATGGCATACTGGAAAGAACAGTGGACCCTAGAACCTAGACCTAACACGACAATTAGCTGAGTGACCCAGCAAGTCAATCACTGAACTCCCTCTGACCTCATTTTTAAGATGAGAAAGCTGAATTTGAGCTCCTCTAAAATCCTTAGTAGTCTAAAACTTTATGGTTCTATAAATCTCTCCTTTTCTGTTCACAAAACATTGCCCCTAGTACCTTTCAGATAATAGTGATGATATACAAATTGTGGGAAGGTATCATTAACAAATAGCTACTCCTCCAGAATTTACCAAGTGTGTCCACAATCCTAAAGCCTAGGACTTTGGAGACACATTTGACTGAATGGTAAAGTCAGTTTACAGATGCAATAAAAATGTACTAACCATGGAATAAACAAAGAATACCCAGGTGTTTGCTATTATTTAAAGTTTGCTTTTTACCAAAGTAGCAGATTACTCACCATCTGGCTTAAATGGAATTTTATTCTTATAGAAACGAAGATTGCTCAAGTCATTTTGATATCGGATATCTTTGAAGTTCTGCTAAAGGAAAAAATAAATCAATCTCTAGTACATGGAAATACAAAAAAAGGCACAAGGACCCTTCTGATGTTTTTCTCATTGGCACCATAAAATTAGGAAAACAGAAGGGAAATATTTTACATTTAAAAGAAAAACATCCTACACTCTTACTGGGTACTGATGTCGATATTTGTACAAATCCCTTGCAGCATAAAAACTTCTCTTTGGTTTGGCAGTTGCTTCAGAGGAATCACCACCCTAAAATAAAAAGTGAAACTCTATTTACATATTGATGCAAGAAAATTTCACTACAAAATTTCCAGAACAAATTTGAAATAATGAACACCCATAAAGAAAGTCTGAAAATTTTCAACTTTCCCAGAACAATAAATAGATTATAATTGTCTTTTAGTAATAGTAGCAATATTTGCCACTATTCTGTTTTCCTTACTTGTACCAAAAATTTTTGCCCTATGGCATATTACTAAATTAAAGACTATTCACCAGATGCCTTTGGAGGACAAATGTTATGGATCAATATCCATCAGAAATAGAACTCAAATGAATTCAAAACATGTATTTTACCAGCTGTTACCCAAATGATCCTATGACAAAGCTTATTTTAGAATACTTTAGATAATACTAAAAAAAGTTAGAATGATAAATCAATTTTACAAAGAAAATTGTCATTAAATTTGCAACATTTAGCTGTGCACAGAAGTCAAGCAATATTTATGAAAGGATGATTTTAAAACAAACTAAATAGCTTTCTAAACTCCATCCTTTACAGCACCATAACAAGTACACAAAAGCATGGGTAATCATCTATTCATTCAATGATAATGTGAGGTGACATAAATCAGCAAATTTAAAATATATACACTCAAAACAATAAAATGTTCTCAAATGGAATGAACATCAGATTGAAGTAATTTACATGTGGTAGCTCACTCATAATATTTACATCCTAAGCTAAATTCTTATTCCCATGAAGTTCCTACCCCCCATTTTTAATGTAAAGATGCAGGTCAATATCATGAATTTGCATTCTCTAACTATATATATTGTTATAAAGTATGTTTTGTGTCCAGTTCATGCTGAAAGACAATGAGAACGACAAAAATGATGAAGGCTACAATTTTTAGAACTGAATACTCATTATGAGCTTTGCTCCAAACTCTTTTCTCATTGTCCCTGCCCCCCTCTGTGTTGACAGACTGACATCCTCTAAGCAATTTTCACACATCTTTGAAGTGGTGTGATCCTCACTCTTACTACAAGTACAGAGATGCTTTAATACCAGATCCTCTGATATTTTACATTAGTTACTCCGTCATGTTACATAAACAAGGGAAAGTTTAAAGTCTGGCCCTTGCCACACGTTTCAAAATAGCTCTGCCTAGCAAGTTTCTGAATCTGTTTAGCCTGAGCTACAACCATATGAATCATCATGTTACACTTGTATAGAAAACACTTTTTCATTTATAAAGTACTTACATGTATATTATTTAATTTGATTCTTGCAACACACCTGGCTGACAATTATTAGTGTTTCCATCTTAGAAACAAGGTAACTGAGGTTAGGGGAAATTGAACAAGACCCAGGGCCCAGTGACAGTGCAAGAATGAGGCAGGTTCCAAGCCCAACTAATTAGGTCTGAATCAACTTCAGTTGCACTACAAGTGAAGGATATATGGAAAAATTAGTATAAGATTAATAGCCCAAGACTTGGAGTCAGACTAAGGTGAGTCTTAATTCTGCTACTTAGTATTTGTGAGGACTTAAGTAAATCACTTGGTTGAATCTAGTTTTATCATCTATGAAATGGAGATAATGACTCATGCCTTACCTGCTCCCCAGGATAATCATGAGAATGACTACACCCTCCAACCTCTAAGTGTATCAGCTTGGCAGTATCTGTCACTGCACCTTCAGCCCCTATTTCTTTTGGACTCTGTCCTGACCCCCTCTCCTGCTCAAGCAACGTCTTGCTCCTTAACATATAGTTCCTCTTACCTGGATCATCAAAATTTCCCTCTTCTCTGGATCAGTCTTCTCGGCAAACAAACATACTGTATATCTTTAATCTTGGAATAAACACACAACACCTTCCAAGGCCACCATCAATTATAGATCCTTATTTCTAATTTTATAGTAAATCATCAAATAATCACTCCTACTCCTCTTTCCTCCTTTTCTCTTTCACCATTGTCCACCCCAATCAGGCTTTATCCTCAGCATCCCTTCAAAATAGTTCTTGGGAACTTTGCCGACAAATCTCCATCTTACCAAACCAATTCTCAATGCTCATCTCTGGTACCCTCCCAACAGCACAGAGCCATGAAGGCCTCCATCCTTCCTGAAACACTGTTATTTACTTGGTTTTCAGGATACCACACTCTTAGTTTACTTCTGGTCTCACTTATCCCCTTTGTCTACTTCCTTTTGGGGTTCCTTCTCTTTATATCTCTGAACACAGGAGTAACCAGGACTTAATTCTCATTCTTCCCCACTCCTGGATGACCTCTTATATTCTTGGACTTTATCTCTGATCTTAAATGCTCTACTCATAAATAAAATTAACTACTCAACTGTTCTACTTGGATATCTAAAATGATATTAAACTCAAGAAAAACCTTGATTTACCCTCCAGAGCTGCTTTCTCCTTGAACTTTTTCACCTTAGTTAATGGTATCATCATTTGTCCAATATTCACTGGGACTAGGATGACAATAGTGCAAGTGGTGAGAAGTAGTCAGTCTGTAATGTACTTTACAGGTAGCTCCAATAGTACTTGCAAATGGATTGACTGTTAGTGGGGAACAAATGGGGTGGACAGTCAAAAGGTTGAATTCGGATGTATTTTTTTTTTTTTTTAGAAGTTATATGGTGACACCAATGAGAATTAACCATTAAATGGGAATGAAAGGGTGCATGTGGTCTACTGTTTATTGTGGTTGCAATTACTTGTTTGAAACTTCAATTACATTGTTTCATACAGATTGACCTGGTTAACTGGATTGATATCCCAAATTTCTGAAGAAGTTCTATAGAAGTTAATTGGGAAGCAAATAGAAGGAGAAAACACCAGAACAGCATCTAATATTTCCCTAAGGTTAAATTAGCAATGTAAATGACAGAGGAGCCAACCAGAGCACAACAGGCAGAGGAGAGGTATACTCAGGATTCCAACAAGTCCAAGATTCTGACTGTGGTAACAGATGTACTTGGGTTTGTGTATTTCTCTTCCTATATGATCTTGGGCAGTTTCATTCTCTGTAAGCTTCAGTTTTCTCTAAAATGAAAACTAAAAGAAAAATTTCACCCTGAGATTGCAGCTCATTTAATTAGCATGTTTGGCCAGATCCTCCACTAAGAAAACTTAGGTAGGTTTCTCCCTGCCTATGCAGAATCATCATCAAGATGGATGAGGCAGCACTCACAGTAATAAGTAGGTGGTGGTTCCCCTAAAACCAGGAGGTCACATTGGTGTTTTCACACTCTTGCTGCTGCCCCATAACTGATAGAAGGCCTAATACGGAACCACAAACCTCAAACACGAGGCACACTTCTTCATAGGGTGAAGAAAATGTAGTTCCTCCTTTTTCAAGTTTCTGATTATTTTTTGAATCCAGAAGTTAAAGATGCCATTTACTTCTTTACTAACCTCTCGTCCAAACTGTATTAGTCGAATGGTTTAAGCATTGTTGGATCAACAAGTCTTCTAGGCGAAATAACACTTTTGAAGAATGTCCTGAACTTGGTGAAAGGCCTTACTTGGGATAAGAACTACGAAGTTTAACTTCGGATGAGAGGCTTCCGCAGTACTTTTAATGGCTGTAGACCCCACGGTAGGAGACACTGCCAGCTGCTTGGCAATTGCAGTCCCATTTTATTCCTAATACATTTTTTTTTTTAACCAATAACACGCACTAGTCGAGTTTTCACAATCCTCTATTTTTAGCCAGGTTCCTCCCACCCCACCTTCGCATTACCTCGCTGTGCTGCAGAGGCAAAGAAAACCCATTCAAGTTGGGTTTAAGCCCTGAGGGACTTCCCTGTCGTACCCAGAGTCAGGGCCCAGGCCAGCAGCGGGCGACCCCAGTGCTCCACGCCGCTGCAGGCCTCTCGGGTCAGCCGAGCCTCTAGACAACCGCGGGCGCGGAGGGGTCGGCGCGCAGAAGACCAGCAGCCGCCCAGCACCCCTGCCCTCGGCACGAGGGGGTGCTCGGCGCTCGCTCCTCTCACCGGCGCTCAAGCCCGGCCCGAGGCCACCGGGGGCCGCGT